ATCTTGCTTGATTGATTGATATAATCGAAGAGTGACACTTCTATCTTGCGATTGGAAACAATTGAATATTAATTTGTTGAGTTAGGGTTTGTCAGTTCTATATGATTAGTTGATTAATCACTTTCTAGTTAATTAGAGACTTTCAGAATCGAAAGGGGAGAAGTCGTAGTCCTAGGCTCGCATGAGGTAGATGATTTCATAATTGAATAGTCTATAGGTTTTGGATTGAAATACGTGCTTGTCGATGACCCGTCCTTTGTTACGAAAAGTTATTGGGATTGGGATAATTGGCATGTGTCATATGCTCGAGTTTGTTCTTCTACGTTCAATCCCTTGTTACGAAGAGTTATTGGGAGCGAACCGCTAGATGTTTAAGCAAGAGTGTCAATCTGGAATAGAATAATTAATTGCCCGGTTTTGCTCAGAACTTGAATAAATTATCCCCGACTCTCTAGCTGCTTCTTCATCTTTATTTGTTTATATTTTTAGGTAGATTATTGTTTTATTTTATTTCTTAGCTAATAATTTATTCAATCCCCTTATCTGGTTAGAGTGTTTAGGATTTATTTTCTTTCTGTGTAATATCGATACCAAAACTAAATTCCAAACCGCCTTCCTCGAGAGATCGATCCGGGAAACGAATCCTTGATTCGGTACTCGGTAAAAATAACAATTCTTGTTACAACAATCAACAAATAAACTATTAGAAAATAACATAATTTTATTAATCTTAAAAATAAACATTGACAAATAAAAAGAGAGAACAAGTAAATTATTTGCAAGTGCAAACTATGGAAGCATTTAACCTTTGAAAAATCAAATTCACAAGATAACAAAATGAAAGAATAAAGGTATACATACATAAAATAACCATAATAAAAAATATATAAAATAAAGCACGTTAAATATATGCAATGAAAATAAAAATTATACAAGAGATCAAAATAAATGAGTAAAATAATAGAGCATGAAAGTGATATGAGATACAAAGTCGTGTTAGAAAGAAAAAAGAAAGGGAGCGTGAAGAGAGTCACATAAGTCCAACAAAATCTCACTAATATTGATGAGATTTCTATTGGGACTTTCTCTTTGTAATTTTGTTAAAAAAGTCTCTAAAAGTCTCACAATTTAAAAAGTCTCACAAAGTCTTCATATTTTGAATATAAGGTGACTTATAGAGACTCTCAGAAAGTTTTAATTGAATAACCTGAGACTTTTAAAGACTTTTTAAAAAAAAAAATTAAAAGTCTCAATTGAATAAATGTAAACTTTTAAGAAGTCTTTAAAAATTCATTAATTTGCTAGAGACTCTCATCTAGCAAATTATGTTGTACTACATAAGTACAACATAAGTAGTACTTATGTTGTATATGAAAAGAAAACAAAAGAATACCTAAATTAAAGGAACTAACTAGACTAGTGAGAATTTTTGTCTAGTTAATGATATTTTTGCATTTCTACTTTTACCATAAAAAAATTTAATCAATAAACTGATGGGTGGTTGTCATAAATCTATAACTATATTATTTATGAAATTTTTCTATTCACAATGTGCTAGGGAGTTAGTCTCTAAAAATTCAATTAATGAATTTGACTTTAATTACTAACTTTGACTCCATCATGACCATTAATTTGCTAGATCTAAAGTTAATATATATATATATATATATATATATATAATGTAAAAAAACTAATATATTAATAATTAAAACTTATTTTTTATATTATTTTAATTTANCTGCAAAATTTCAATTTAAATCAATTTTTCTACAAAAAAAAAACTTACATTTCCATAAATTATAGTTGTTGAACTTAAATTGTAAATACATAAAATCTCATATTTATTTCTTAAAAAAAGGTTTGAGAGTGATACGAATTCTAAGTTTTTAAGAACTTGATGACACACATATCGATATTTATATTTATAGTAAATACATTTATATGAAATGAATTGTTTTTATTTACACTACAAACTCGTTATTTGATATTAAAAATCGGGTCTCCCTGACCAAAATTCCTAGATCCTGTCTTCAAGTATACAAAGTCGGACACATATTCTGTATACAACTGGTACGTATCAACGGAGAGCATATACTAGTTGGAAGAACAATTTTCCATTTCATATATTATTAGATATGCATCAGACACTTATTTAATAGTCTATTATTATAGGCAAGTTATACAAATTAAACATCAAAGATTTATTCTCTAATTTAACCGTCATGAGTACTTCTTTATTGTGTATGAAAAATGCTAGATATTCATGCAAGTAGTACTTATGTTGTATATGAAAAGAAAACAAAAGAATACCTAAATTAAAGGAACTACGCTAGACTAGTGAGAATTTTTGTCTAGTTAATGATATTTTGCATTTCTACTTTTATCATAAAAAAATTTAGTCAATAAACTGATGGGTGGTTGTCATAAATCTATAACTATTTTATTTATGAAATTTTTCTATTCACAATGTGCTAGGGAGTTAGACTCTAAAAGGAAAAAGAAAATTGAGATTATACACCTAAATTATACATTCACAATTCATTTTTTGCAAGAGAAATTTCTTTATAATTTACCTTAAAAAAATATAGGTTTTAAGAATTATGCACATCGCTTAATGTCATAAAAGTATCTTGCAATTTTTTTACTTTTTTTGTATTAAATTAAGTCATTTATTATTAACAAAAGTTGATAAAATTCACCAATATTCGCACATATTCCTCAATAATAAGATTCTAAAAACTAGACCGGTCATTGAACCAATGAAAGTATGGAACTNGAGGGGAGGGGAGGGGAGGGGAGGGGAGGGCATTTTTTATTTTTCCCTTGTTTGGTTGAGAATTTGGGATAGAAGGGGAAGGAAAATTTTAACTTAAAATTCCCTTCCCTCCCCATTTTTGCTCCCCTCCAAAAGTGGGGGAATTTGGAGGGGAGGGAAAATTTTAATTGGTTAAATTACAATCTTACCTTTCTTATATAATTTGTAAGTTTTTATTTATAACATCATTAAGGGTATATTTGTCATTTTAACATTATTTTCCCTCCCCTCTCATTTTTCTTACCAAACAAGGTTTATCATTTTCCCTCTCTTCCCCTCCAACAAAATCCCTCCAAACAAGGTAAAATTATTTTACATCACCTCCCCTCCCCTCCCTTTCCCTCCATTAAAATCCCTCCCCTCCCTTTCCCTCCATTGAACCAAACACACCCTAAAAGATTGATAGTTCATTGATATGACCGTGATGGACATAGGAAGAACATATAACATAATATTTTATTCGTAAAATAATAGTCTACAAGCAATAGTAGTTCAAATTCAACACGAGAATCACAATAACAGTTCAATTTCAAAAACAAGCTAATACAAAATCATCAAATTAAGTTTGATTCATTAACATAACATAAGAAAAAATAAATCAACATACTAGTTCAACTTCAAAATTATCACAAAACAACAAAATTCACCGGGCAATATGAACCATACATAATAATTAGCACACAATTTTTTTTGTTTTCTGGTTTTCTAAAATTTCTTTTCTCAACTCATTTTCGGCATTTTCAGTCTTTTAAATGTTTAATAATTTAAAAAAAATCAACACCTAACTCCCCTTATATATAATTTTTGAATTTGCTGAACCTGAGTGGCAGACTCGCATACTTCAAAATCCTATATCGCAATATTTCATGCTTCATTATTGGATAGATTTTCAATCCAAAAATAATCATGTTCAATTATCCATAAATATATTGATTATTTATGATCATGTTACATGTATTAATTTCACTTTAATCTCATTTCTTATTATAACCATTGAATTGTAAATGTATTTTAAAAGTTAATAACTTTTGTATTTTTTATCAGTTTTACATATATAATCAAATTAATTATCTCTTGATGTGCTTCGATTTGACATCCATATTGTATGTATAAAATAATTAAATTGTATTAATCTTTATAAAAATAATAAAAATTATTTTATATTAATTAGAAAATTAAAAATATTCATCAATTAATATGTTTATGTTTTGAGTAGTTATATGATACAAGTTAGAAAAATTATTATAATATAACACATGTAAGTTGCACAAGTAACAAGTGTCATTCTAAAATATATAATAATATATATTTTTTATAGAAAAGTATTTAAATTTTAAAACACTTTTATCCATTAATTTTAAAACTTATGAATAATTTTTTTAACAAGCACTCGTGTAATACACGGGTATTGTAATAGTGAACTTCTAAACCACTAAAAGGGATATAGGTAAATCGGATCAACCACCGGTTTCGTAGCGGCTCAAACGGTTTTGACGTGGTGTGGCAATTAGGTGGTTTTTCTTTATGAACCGGAAAGGTAAAAAACCAGTTCACGTGGAATGTTCTCTAATCACTGCCCACTCACAAATAACTACCAAGTGTAGCAACAAAATACATCCCTCGTATCATAACAGATACTAATCTTGACATTGCATGCATGCACTATTCCAAGGTGATGTCTTAGTATTATAATATCTTACACACATAAGGAAATAAGGTTGAAAGTATTATTATGTTACAAATTAGATGGAATATAAAGTAAATCCGACAATCATGTTGTCCATGAAAGAAAATTGGCGACCAAACATAACACCAGGTAAACAAGACTGAGATAATCATAAAACAAAAACTCTTTTAAGTATACAAAATTTTTTTACTCAAAAATTCCATTCAACTCAAAATTTAACTCAACTGCAATATCCTCAATAGTATCAATATAATTAAATAATATCATTCAATCTTTCTTACACATCACATCTACTTTAATTCATTATTCATCTACTCACATAATTTTAACTAACTATCAATTCATATCATCTCTCTTACTTTTACATCAAATCAATTTTTATTATCGCATTTTAAATATTAATTTAATATAAATCTAAAACTCAACTAACAACTAACTATGCCAAACCATGCCATCTTTTTCTAAATTAATCTAGTTAACCAAAAAAAGTCTCACTTTGAGGGAAAAAAATTGTATAGAAACATGCTCTAAAGTATATATTTCTTCATTTTTACCAATTCCAGAGTTGAATACAATCATAAAAAACGAGGGAAAAAGAAAACACAGAAACAAAGCCTACTCTCTCTCTCTCTCTCTCTCTTTAAATAGACAAATAAATAATTTAATCCTTGAGATTCATTGTTGCAATTAGGCATGAATAGGCAGTGATGGAGACATTGTACACATTAAAAGGTGATTTAAAATAAAATGTACTAGCGGATTGAGGCTTCACTAATGGAGGGAACAGTACAGACACCAGCTGATGTTGTGAATGGGAGATTTTTGTAGCAGGCAACCAAATTGTTATCAGTATGCAAATCTACCTGAAGTGTTTCCCAAACCTTCTTCTTAGGATTTAGAACCTCATCAGGCGGCCCTTCAAAACCGGGAAATGTCACTCTTTCACCCACAGTCGCTCCCTGGGGAGGTTCTACCAACTCTACCTGCCAAATTTCAACGCAAAACTATTATTATTATTGTTATTATTATTATTATTATTATATACTATAAATGCAACATCATGCAAGCATATCCATGATATTAGAAAAATGCAACTGCCCCAAAGGGAAATTAAACCGCTAATATGGGGTGCTAATGTAGAAGCATTTACATGAAATGGCAGTGTAGAGATTATGATTTAGACACTACAAGAAAACTGACATTCGATCGACCCCATGATGAAAAATTGCAATAAGAAAGAAAATGTAATTGGGTCGGCCCCAAATCTGTCATAAAAGAATTCCTAATTTCTTGCTGGAGGAAAGATAAAAGCCTCTCTCTCTCTCTCTCATTTATTATAAAGTTGTTTATTGGCATATTAAGCTCTTTCTTATGTAACTAATATTAATTTATGTAATTGTTGACATGTTTTAAACTCTCATTATGATGTTATACATGTGTGTGTGTGTGTGTATATATTTTGGTCCGACATGCATTCTCCCATTTTCTGCCAAGCCACCTATCATACATACATATGGCAGCTGTTCGGCTCGTTGCCATCCACCATTGATAACACAGATAGGGTTACAGATCTAAAGGGGTGAGGAAAAGGTGGGTTATATATCTGAGAGGCACAATTTGAAGGGGGCACTTGGAGGAAAAAGAAAAGACGTGAAAAATTACAGTAAAAATGTTATTTATAAAGAACNTCTTTCTTCTACCAAACACGTGACATGTAAGACATGGCGGGTTATTGAATTACATAATGGCTACACATCAGCAATTTCAGCCAACTTTTGAGTGACACTGCTTTTCCAACCATTTAAAATGTCCTCAGCAGATCGAGGACCCAAATGGCAAACTTTTTCCATTAAAAGACGGGACAAAATCCAAATTGGCCATAAAAAATTTTCTTGCGTTGAGGCTGGAGACTAAAATTGTGATTTTCTCTTAATTATAAATATCTGACAAACTCATCAGTTAAAAGCAGCTCAGAACCTCAATTTCGACTTTTAAATACACATTTGTTTAGAAACAAATGTGGCAGTGATATTCCACGACTCCAAGTGAAAGAAACGCTCTTATCAAAGTCATACATTTTCCACTGTCCAACTTACAAAGAGGAGAAGTTGGTTTAAAATCTATAGAAATATTGTTCACTTTTTTCCAATTGACCCAACAGATAATTAAGATATTGATCGAGTAGTTGCTCACCTTCGTGTGATTCTTATCAGAAGCTGCAAGGACCATTGCTTGAGATTTTATGCCTCTCATGGTTGCTGGCTTTAGGTTACAAAGAACACAAACCCTCCGATTCTGATAAAAGAAGACACTGTTAGAAAATGTAATGGCAAAAAATGGGTAAATGGTGAAGAAAAGAATGAAGCAGTAAAAGTAACAAGGGTAAAACCTGCATATCTTCAAGGGGTATATAATTGACTAAGCCACTAACAACCGTGCGAGGTTCTTTTTCGCCAACATCAATTTCTTCAACATATAGAGAGTCAGCATCTGGATGTTTTCGAGCCTTTGTAATGACAGCAACTCGAATATCTAATCTGCTAATGGAAACTTCGGCATCAGCAGGAGGCGAAACCTTAGCCTGTGCCACGGAAGATTTTTTTGGTCGGTCCTTACCAATTTTGCCATCTGTAAAAGAATTGACTGAACTCAAGTTAACAAGACATCAATGTTGACAATAATACATCAGAGCTCTGACTTTTTTTCCAGGCAAAACTAAAACCATGGCATCTGTCGGATAATATATGAATTTCAGGTAAACATCAAAGTATCAAACATAAGGTTACGCTTTTTTGTCCATCATCAGAAAATATAGGGAAAAGATGAGAATATAATCACAGACATAATTAAGAAAACATTATAGCAATAGGAAAGGCTTTTCCTTGACTCTAAAGTGAGTTGGAATCACACAATCAGAACACTATGACCAGTGGTACCAATGGCAGATCACAGCTCATGGCAACACCGCTCAAAAACTGTCATATAGAGATGTGGAAAATGGTGGAAGGCGTAACATAATTAAAATATTTTATATTTATTTATGCACGGTAATATATAAATATATTGAGAGCTGAATATCAAAGTAAAGCAAATAAATAGAGCTTAAAAATAGGCAACCAGAAGAGAGTTTATTTAGCAAAAGAGAGCTGAAACTTACAAGAAACAAATAGTGAGCTGCAAAATAAAGGGAAAATGAGTTTTTTAATTTAATGTACAAGAATTCGATATTGAAACAGAAAAATAAAGGGATGAAAACAAATAAAAGCTGCCCAAAAGTCCATCTGGATGTTATAAAAAGAAAGGGAAGGGGAGGGGGGAGATATATATATAGAGAGAGAGAGAGAGAGAGAGAGAGGGGAGAGAGAGAGGGGAGAGAGAGAAGGTAGGGATTAACAACACTGGATATCATGAACAGCACAGAGAAGAACAAAATGAACACATTAATTACAAACAGAAAACCCTTGAGATCCAGTTTATTTGAACTATGAAATATGCATGACATGGGGAGAGCACATATATCTCACCAGCTATCTTTTAAAAAATACAATTATACCCTTCTTTTATGCTACAAATACGCCAGTTCATATGTCTATTTAGAATCTGCAACCTATTATAAGTCAAAGTATAACGATAAGTGACCATTTAAACAAAGTTTAGGCGGGATCATGAGTTTGATAGAGCACTACAAAACTAAGAAGATGAGTTAAGAGGACGCACATAAGTGAAAGTATACAAAAGGTGCGGTAAATGGAAGATGTTCCAAATCACAGAACCTCAAAAAAAGGATTTCATAAAAATAATCCGTAATGAAAATCATTCTCAGCAGACAGTCCACGTCATCGAAAACACAGAAAATGTACATTTATCCACCTTTTCTCCTACCATTTAATCTTTGTATATAGAATTTAGCAACAACAACAACAACATACCCAGTATACTCCCAACAGGTTGGGGTTTGGGGGGTCAGTTGTACGCAGACCTTACCCTTGTAATTATACAAGGAGGTTGTTTCCGTAGCGACCCAAGGTGCATTGCGCCGTTTGATATTTTTTTTTTCTTTTTTTTTTTTAGAAACTTCACTAATAGAAGAAGCACTAAAATTTAATTGAGCCATTTTGATCTAGTCCATTATTAGCAACTTCAAATAATAAAATTTTGATATTTATTAAAATGATCAAACAGTACCCTTTCTCCTAGTACAACCGTTCCCATCACCTGATGCGACATAAGCCATCAGAAAGGTCACCGATATATTGTATCATAACAGAGTTGATAATAACATCAGTTATTTGATAAGACGCAAAATATAAAGACAAACATGCACCAAAAGAGATTATATATCCACCGAATCGGATCAAGCCACAAACAAGAAAGCAAATGATCCATTGGTAAACCAAGTACAAGTTCCCATATGTGAATTAAATGACCACAATAGGCAAGCGCAAAGAAAAACAGGGTCATTTTTGTTAGACAGCATTTACAAAGAAACTGAAGCATGATTTTTTTTAAAGCCTAAACCTAACCTATAATATGGCATAAAGGGAAAAAATATGTCAAAATCATAAAAACCAGTGACATTATAAGCCAAAGGGAAATAAAAAATAACCTGAAATCTTTGCTTCCTTAAGTTTTTCAGTGACTTTTTTTGCCTCAGCTTCAGCCTTCACAATCCTATCAGCTTGACTACCAGCAAACTTTTCCCTATAGAATTCAACTTCCTCGTCTTTCTGCATATAATAAGCACACAGTCATAATTACACACGAAAGACGAGAAAAAACCCTTTCTGTCAAACTTGCAATTTGATAACAAAACCAGCCAATGGACACAAAAAAATTACCAGTTCTTTAAACAGTGGGGCTGGAGTTCCAATTTTGTGACCAGCCAGCAGAAACTCCCAAGGTCTTTTAGACTTTTCAACAACGCCATCTTGTTCAGAAAGTGAAATTTGATCGAGTGGCAGATTCAGCTGCTTTAGTACCTATATAGAAATTAAGATACTGATGAGTAATCCATATTCCTCTTAACATTATGAATGCTGCACTTGTTAGTGCTAAATTACCTCGGCGGAGAAAGATGGCATAAAAGGTTCTAAGAGGCATGCAAGGAGGAACACTAATCCAGCTGCAGTCTTCATCACTACAGAACAAGTTGCTTGGTCCTCCTTGTAGAGCTTCCAGAATTGGCTTTCCTATATAATGATATATAATAATAAATGATAAATGAGCCTGATTGGAACTAATCGCCAAAAGCTAGCTCACAGGAAGAGGGAACTTGACCCACACACACAACAACATCACAGTAACTTATCAATGTTGACCAAACATAAACTTCTAACACCCGCCCTCACTAATAGCGTGGTAATCCAAATGGAGAGGGTATCCAGCAGCTTATCGATGTTGGGCAAATATAAACTTCTAACAATAGATATTTCGCATCACAACAACAGATAAACATAGGGATTTTCAAAATCCGGACGATCAGTTTTATCAAATTTTCGTCATGTATTGCGTGACTGATTTATTAATTGTCATTAAGAATTTGTGAAGGGCGAAGGTTATGGCGGAGCCACAAACCAACATGACAGCCACTAAGGTAGGATTTCTGTCTACCGCCATTTTACACCATCCGCCATTGATAACACTGTGCACACTTCAATCTTACTTGTAAATAAGCATTTCCTTCACTGGATATAGTCATAGCAAGCTTCAATCCTTGCTTTAGCTTCACCTGCACTCAAGGCCAATTGATATTATTCATGTGCACACTCAAGTCCATTCGAAATACCAAGACATAAAGAAAGGCCTATCATGAGCTGGTTACCTTCTCCATTGCTTCTATATATTGTTCCACAAAATTACCGACTTTGTCACCCAAAGCTTTTGTCAATGGATGGGAATCTGCACTCTGAGCATCAGGAATGATAGAACCATATCCTGAACCTGATTTGAATATAACGAAGTTTACAGTTAAGGTTATGTACATTTAGAAATATAACCAGGACACGGAAAGCCATTGTATATTGTGTAATAAAATTCAATGAACCACACCATTATACATATATAGTTATACGAAAACATATTATATCCGAGTATAAAAAAGGAACTCATATATTTAATAAATCCAAAACTCAGAGAAGAAATATTTCACTGAACCAAAAACCAACAAGTTCAACTAAGTACCATTATTTTATTAACAAGGACGACATTTAGATTCAATTTATGAGAAAACAATACAATAGAACCATTTGACTAACAAATTTCATTTAGAATTACGATCAACGAGTGAGACAAGTAGGGGACAAACAAGAGAAAGCAAAGTTTAACTATGAAACTGCACAAAGTTTTTCAAACCTTGGTTCTGTATCATTCTTTTTTCTTTTGTTACACACTCTCATCCATGAACTACTCATGAATGCACAAGAACCATTACGAGATTACCCAAATTTCAAAAACTATGAAACTTGTAATTAGACTTTTCCCCCCTAACCAAGTCAAATTAAATGAGCAGAAGATAATTGTTTCAGTTTAACAACTTCAAATTCTCGTACATAAGTGGCAATGTGAAGGAAGCTGTTCATTGTACACCGATAACATTGAATACACTCAAACGGCCAGAAAGCCCTGAAATGTCCATTTCCAATCTTGGTGCAATAATTGCTCTTTACCCAATCAAGGTTTTGAGCCTCAAATATACTCGACATATCATATGGTATTGTGTTTATGACAAAAGTAATCATGATCAGATATCGAAGAGGGAATATCAAATGCAAATACATGACCCCGTAATCAAATCAATTATACGACCTGGGTCTTTGGCGATGAAACTCAATACACGGTTAATGAAGTTCCCTAGATTGTTCAGCAGCTCACTGTTCAGCTTTGCTTGCAAATCAGCCCATGTGAACAAAGTGTCTGATGCCTAAAATTGAACAGGGTTGGTAATGGTGAAGTAAGCATCTGTTTAGGAAAGCACAAACAACCATAGAAAGAGTGCAACGAAAGAAAGCTTACCTCAGGCCTATTGGTCAGCAAATAATATCTCCATACTTCAACAGGAATATTTGTGTCTTTTACGTCATTCCCGAACACTCCTACACCCTTGCTCTTGGAGAATTTTCCTAAAGAAAATATAAAATCAAAAGTAGGTTGCATATATGAAGGTATCTCTCGCAGTTACGACCTTTAAATATTATTTATTTGTTACCAAATATCTAACCAGATTCATAGTTCAAGTATTCTGTGACGCTGATGGTTTTCATCAAAGTCCATCTTTCATCTGTTCCAAGAAGAGTGGAGGGAAATATAACCTGGAAAAATGATAAAGGTTACGAAACGACAGATGCCTAAACCTTAGAAAAGGATGGGACAAACATCTCTAGATGTTCTAATTTACCAAGCCCAAGTATTAGGATAAAATGGTTACTATTGAAGAGTTAACTAACACAAATAACATGCCACCGCAGCAGGCAGCAATCCTACATATCCTATATTATATGACTTACAGTATGGAAAGGCACATTATCTTTGCCCATAAACTGGTAAAGTTCTACATCGTCGGGATTCTTCCACCACTTTTCCCAATCTGGTGTGTGGCATGCAGTAATTGAGATATACCCAATAGGTGCATCAAACCATACATAGAATACCTGCGCATCAAATTGCAAACAGAGCATCTCGTCATTAACTAATCAAAAAAGTCAAATTTAGGAATCCAGAATATCCAGTAATATAAGAATTCCAATAGTTTGTTACAGGAAATGAGAAACCTAATATCAATTATGTATAGATCACTTTTGTCGATAAAATTCACACCTTGTCCTCAAATCCCTTATGTGGAACAGGGACACCCCATTTCAAATCCCGTGTGATGCAACGCTGTTTCAGCCCTTCTCGGAGCCAAGCATGTGTTGCTTGGACAGCATTTTGACTCCATCCTCCAGCTACTGACATGCGGCGGATATATTCTTCTAATCGGTCCTTCAGCAGAGGAAGTTCAAGAAACAAGTGGTTCGTATCCCGAATGCGTGGAGTGTGGCGACAAACCTGTTTGTCAAGCAGAACAAAAGTTCAGACTTCAGAGTCTGTTCCTAGAAGATACAAATGCTAGCCTTTTCTAAGTTAAGGGTACAATCACTCAAAATAATATATTGCAACTTTTAATTGCCAGCATCATCCATATCATCATAATCCCATATCTAGATAGTTGTTTCTTCAGCAATAAAGATTGCAAACCTTGCATTTAGGCTCCAGTAATTCCGTCGGATTTAAAAGCTTCTGGCACTTTTCACACTGATCGCCACGGGCAGAGTCATAATTGCAAAATGGACAATTACCTTCCACAAGCCTATCAGCCAAGAATCTTACGCATGTATCACAGAATAGCTTCACAGGAAAAAATGAAAAACTTCACAATGATGCAAAATTTGGACATAGAACTCAAGACTAAAGGTAAGAATTATATAGATTTTAGTGAAGCAAATTATTAGGAGCAACATTACACCTGTTGCATTGTGTTCTCTGAAAGCCAATTATTATCCAGTAGTCTATTAAAGATTGCTTGACAAATTTGAGTCTGCTGCGGCGTTGACGTACGCCCAAACTCATCAAAGCTTATATCAAACCACTCATACACCTTTTTGTGAATACTATGATATCTGCAACATAGTGGAAAAATGGGGATCATATAATTTTGAGCAAGCCCGTAAATCTTTCAAACTGTTTTGCCAGTGATATCAGCTGCAAAAAGCAATGTTAATGAACGTCATAAAAAGAAATATATATATTGCCCAGATCTAAACGAAAACTAAGTTAGTAAGCCACAAGTTCATTTCAATATTTTCATATGCTATTAATATTTCTCAAATATGGCACAAAAATCAGAAAAAACAATTCCATGCAGTACAGCTGTCTCTTTATGACATTCGATCTGCCAGGTCAATTAAAATGAAGAACTGGACGCATTTGATAAGTCTCATTTGCGCTGACAAAATAGATGACATAGATTGGGTTTGAGTTGAGTTCACAAAATTGCCAATTCAGCTTACAGATCCTTCAGGTTAAACCTACCCATCTTGTAGCAAGGAAAAAGAAAACACGAGTTTCCACATACAAAATTAAAATGAAGGTTAAGCTTTTCAGGATAAAGCACCATCAGATCACTAAGGCCAGCTTTCATAAGAAACGATATATTTGCAACTTTATGTATGCATGTTCTAACCTTTTTATGCATGCATGTTCTAACCTTTTTACAGTTAAATTGGGAAATAAATTTACTTCTACATATGGTTAAAAGTATAAATGATGTAGGGAAGCGTACGAGTGGGAAAGATAAACAAACGAGATACTCTCTCGTAAAACACACAAAACTCACAACCTTATTTCATTTCAATAATCAACCATCTCATAATAAAGCAGAAGAGCCCTTTAAAATAGGCTCCTAACCCTATACCTTAACTTGTCCAACAAGACAAAATCTCTTACTAAATATTAAACAATAATATTAAATTCCTAACTTATTCACTAAGACAACTATTAAATAATAATAATAATAATAATAATAATAATAATAGATACTAATCTACACCATTCTCTCCCAGTTCGGAAGGCTCACCCTCGAAGCCGATGCGCTCCCGTGGTCGGCGTGTGGTGTCGAACTCATGGTAGGAAACCCCCGTCGTTTCCCCCGGTCGAACACGAACGACGAATGTCGTCCAATAATCCCGATAGTGAACATAATCATGGGCAAGGATTGAATTGCTGTAAATGCACATGTACACGTCTCCATATGCATAACCCACACAGCGGAATTAACACCAAACATACCACATCGTTCATTGCACTCAAATCCATAACTACGGCCAAACATCCCGTTGTTGAGAGACTTCGGAATAACAATCGGAAAATGGCCTACCTGTCATTGAACCTCGACTTCGGCTCCGAAAAACCATTTTGGCCAAAATACTCAAAAAATCGAGTGTGAATGACGGCTTCCCATTCGAAGACTCAACCGATGCAATGTCCCACGCGGGACCCATATTGCTGCAGAAAAATGTCGTCATTACAGGAGGCTCCTCATAAAAAATGGACGGACCGTCGTATAATGGCCCATCATCTTCCTCAAAAATTACACTCTGTTGCTGCACATCTTGGTCGCCGTGCGCAGCAACGAGCTCAGTCTCGACGGGAGGAGGCGGCCACTCTCCGGAGAGATCCACCTCTGATATGGTCTCCTCGCTGTCTGCATCCCCGGGCGGCGGTTGTGGAGATCACCGACGGGGCACCCCGCCTGGAACACGACCTCCACTTCCTCCGTGAACTCCCCCGCGCACACCCCTGTCGCCGGCGGCAAGGTTCATCTGCAAATCCCAGATCACGTTGTTAAGCGTCAAACGCAAATCCTCGATCCCGTCGAAAGATCTGCAAAACAATCTATGAAACGCACGTTCAACTGTTCAAATCGGTAGTCGATCTGTTGAAACCGATCGTTGAAGGTTGCATTACATCGTTTGTTTGCGGCATCTTGTCGTCCCGGCGACATCGCGAATCGTACTGATTGATACCAACTGGTGTAGGGAAGCATACGAGTGGAAAAGATAAACAAACGAGATACCCTCTCGTAAAACACACAAAACTCAAAATCTTATTTCATTTCAATAATCAACCATCTCATAATAAAGCAGAAGAGCCCTTTAAATAAGGCTCCTAACCCTAGATCTTAACTTGTCCAACAAGACAAGATCTCTTACTAAATATTAAACAATAATATTAAATTCCTAACTTATTCTCTAAGACACCTATTAAATTAATTAATAATAATAATAATAATAATAATAATAATAATAATCTACACTAATAAATCATTAAATTGATTATAATATCTCATAATCCTAGTTTTTGTTTACAGATTATGGTAAATTTATACTCACGTACGTCACTGGAATGCATCCACAACCACATGTTGCTCAAGTTGGAACCTGATGAGGTCCTAAACACTAACTCATGCCCCATGTACAGTCTCAAGAATCAACACCTCAAAATTTGACTCAAGTATATGGTCATTAATTGGAAGAAGAACCTTCATTTTATATCTTCAAATCCCCTTTTATACTACTTCCATAGTTTTTATGATCCTTCTCCTTTCACCCTTTTCATCACAAAGGGACTTAGCGAAGATACGCTGCCAAGTCAATCACATGAAACCAGTCACTAAAATAAAATTGGTAAAGGGTCTTGGTAGAACTCATCCCCAAAAGCTAGATACGTAACTAAACAACGTGAGACAAACATAACTTATAAAAAGATCATGTAAAGGATTAGAGATAGCAACCTTAGTATAAATAAAATAAGAATGTATGTCATAAACCCAATCTCTAAACATGTGTAGCAAATGCAAGTGATTTCTACTTTTAGAAAAATCAATTTTGAAAATAGAACATTTAACAATCAAATATTAGTTATATCAACAGCCAATGACATGAATCAGAACCAAATTCTTTAAAAATTAATTCCAAAGTGCCCTAATTACTTTACTGAATCAAAGTCACAGGAAATATAAGTTCTGAATAAAGTACTTGTCACAAATTTCCTTTGGGGAACACCCTTCTTCCAATGCCTTAGTCTCAGTTGCTGTCCCATACTCATCTGTACCACAAATATATAGTACAACATGTCCTCTCTTCCGGCAGAACCTCGCATATACATCAGCACTCAGCACACCTGGTCATAACGAAAACAGAACTTGCAAAAATTAACTATCCCAAACCAAAAATGTAAATGAAAATACAATATACCAAACGCAAATCGGACATGCAATAACGGAAAACACAAAATCAATTTAAGAAAGCAAACAAACAAAAGTATTACATCCAATGATGTTGCCGAGATGGGGAACATTGTTGACGTAAGGCAAGGCGCTGGTGATAAGAATGTTCCGTTTGCCGGGAATCGGTAGCTTGGTGACGGCGCTCATCTTCAGATTTTCGATGATAACTTCAGGAAATGATTGAAAGTGATTCTTGGTGTGGCGGCTGCGTAAACGTCAGGAAGTGAGGGTGTCAGTACGTAACTGTTAAGCGTTTTTCTATGGATGATTTGGCTTTGGGGCATTCAAATAGGGTTCGATTGTCTTAAAGATGAAAAAATATTCGTCTTATTTTATTACCAAAAAAAAAAAAATGTCAAGACAAAGATTATGAGAGTTTTTGTTCTAAAATCTTGTTCGCACTATTTATCTATTTAACTATTCATAAAGATAAAGATGTCAAATTAATTATAAATGAAATTTCCTTAGTAATAAAATTAATTTCAGATGGTTCTGAAAATTGGATCGGACAAGTCGGCTCCAGGAATCGATCCTCATTCCGGTCCGGTTTGCAACATATAACCGCTTGACTTCAGTACCGTTCAGAAATCGTTCGAACCGATACAAAATCGGATAGACCAGTGAACCGATGCCGGTTCTAACAGTTAAGGGGGCGATTGGATATCAACTTTACTAGTGAAAAACTAGTTTTGGACTCAATTTCACTGATGAGCATGTGATTGGATATCAATTCAATTTGGTTGTCTATGGCCCACACCATTATTCTCACCACCTGCTACCATTCATTACTATTGTCTTTTTTTTTACTACTTTTTTCGATCTTTCAAATCCGATGCGCTGGTCTCTGCAACCGTACATGCTAAACTCGAAATGTTCCTCCATAAATTTGGATCCAATAACCTCTGCATCGTATGGATCCTCTCCCCACCAAAAGAACATCCGGTGATAGCAGCTGAAACCGACGACGAAGGAAGGGAAGATCTGCGACCTGAAGACACAATCGAGAGCACCGGCAGCGTCTCCGTCACATCTCCGAAGAAAAGAAAAGTCCGGCCAACAAAGGTACTACTTACTAGTATTTCACACTGAAATTCAAATGCTCGATGCATGTTTGTAGACTACAAATATAGGTTTTTAAGTTCATCTGTAAAAATAGTGAATTTCTTTGTTTAGAAGCACAAAAAAAAAAAAACTAGGTTACGGGCCATGTTCATGTTCAGCGAAGGATTTGTGTTTCATCTGCAATTTTAGAAGGTATTTTATTAGGTTACCTTTCTTTTAATCAAATTGGGGCTTTAAGAACATTGGATTCATAGAGCATTGCCCACCATGGTGTTGTAGGAGGTTGAATGAAATGTGTACAAAACTTAGGATTGACTCTAGTGTTTTGTGTATTTCTTAACGAGATGATACCAAGTCACGATTTTGTTTTTCTTGTTGTTCATTATTGGTCACTGTAACACAAATATGGTTGGGTTATACCTATAATTGAAGAATGCAATACCACATTGTACTTGGTTTGTTGTTTCTTGTAAATCTAGATGTCGGGTAACTGTGGAATTGGAACTCCATCTGGTCATAATGAAGGAGACGCGAAATGGCCTCCTAAAAATGAGGCCGCCTTTGTGAATATATTGTTGGATGAACTTCTGTTGGAAAATTGTGTAACCAGTAAATTCACACCCAATCAATGGTCGACCATTCTTGGGAGGTTGACCGAGCAGTGCTCAACCTTCTACCCTTATAAAGTGAAGCAGTTGCACAAAAAGTACCAACGATTGAAAGTATATTGGAAAAGGTTCCACACCCTCCTAACGAAAGCAACTGGATTTGGATGGGATAAAGACAGAAAAGTTATTACGGGCAGCGAGGAGGCTTGGAAACGTTGGACAACTGTAAGTTTTTTTAATAAACGTTCATAGATAATGCTTTTTATGTCTTAAATTAGATCTCAGGAAAGTACTCTGCTTGAGTTATAACATGGCCTGAAGTTGATGCTTTGTTTTAAAGTAAGTATTTTTACCAGAGTAGAATCGAAAGATTCGTTCCCCGGGATGTGTCGCAAGGAAGGTTAGCCGGATATTCTTGTGCGTTTATTCAATCACGAAAAGATAAGACAGATTCCTAAACACTCTAATTCAATATTTTTGAGTTTCAATTATCAACTACTGATTTAAACTGAATAAAATGAAAGTAAAATAGCTAATGAATTTACTGAATGATTAAAGTGCTAGGGAATCGGGGATAATCGCTTTTGGTTCTAACACAATTACCGGCAATCAATTGCTCGGTTAGAGGTCTTGAATCGTTTCTCGTTCAGAGGTTCACTCTCAATAACTCTTCGTAACAAGAGAGTGAATGTAAACGATCAACTATCAATTCCAACAACACATAGATTATACGTTTCTGAACAAATCTATTCTAAACGAGCCTAATTTGACCAACGTCTCCCCTCTCGGTTCTACACGTTGATTATCTAGGTTAGAAAGGTGATCAATCTACTAACCCTTTGATTCACACAACTCGCATAGACATGAACAATCAAAAGCACTCAATTATAACGAGCCTAATCAATCATCCCCTATCTCTAGCGACTGGATTTAGCTACTCATATGGAATCTAACATCACCATTCATATTAACCCAAGCCATCATCATCAACAAAACAATTGAGAAAAAGAACTTACGATTAAGGATAAGAATCCAATGTCAAATCCAAGTGCATCCAAATCTAAAGCAGAGAAAAAGGAGTTTTGAATCTCCAAAACAAATCAAAAGTGAAAAAGTATGAAAAGGAATGAGTTTCTCTAGAAAAATCAAAATCGAAATCTGCTCTAAAAATCCCATCCTCGAAATTCGCGCCGGATAAGTCGCGAGTCGCGAGATAGTCTTTTCCTCGGTCGCGAGTCGCGACTGTTGGGTTCGCCTGTACCGTACGAGCTATACGCGGCGGAATTTAAAATTTTTAAAACAAGTATTTAACACTTAAATACTTTGCTCGTACATACATATGTCGAATTAACAGATCTTCATCTTTAATAACATGTAATAATACATATTTTGATTTGTTATAAGTAAATTCTAAATTTACCTTAGTCTTGAACTCCTTCAAACTTGTCGATGAATGAGGGAATCGATTCCCGGTTTGTAACAGCAACACGTTGTAGTTACTCGCTTAGGAATCCAATTGTCTTCCCTCTAAACGTATCCACCTTTTGAAATCCGGTTCCGATAACCTCTTTTTTCGCTAGTAGAAAAGTATTGGTTTTATTCAATAGAATGGAATATTTATTTGAGGAAATATACAAGAACACTTTCTTGTATTTTTGAATATGAAGAACACTTCTTCTTTTCTCTCTTTTTCAACTCTTGAAAACTTTGCAAGACTTAGATTAAATTTGAACATCAAGTATGTCCATATTTATACTAAACATTTTAGTATAAAATATAATGTTGGGTAGAATATTTTCATAAAATATAGAAAGTCTTCAAGAATATTTTCATAAAATATTAAGTCTTGAATAAGACTATTCCCCACCCAATATTCAATTAATAAGAATAAGATTAATTATGTTAAGTAGTTAGCATCTTATAACCACCATAATTAATTTATTCTTATTAATATTTAATCTTTAATCATATTAAAGATATTTAATAAAATAATAATTCTTGAAAGCATCTTTCAAGACTTTATTATTTTAATCCTTTATTTCATTTCCTCATTTAATAATCATATTATTATTTTGGATTTGAAATTTAAAATCTAATTTTAAATTCCAAATATTAATTAGTAATTCCATTAATTACTAAATTAATATACAAAATTCAATTAATCAATCCAATTGATTAATTTAATGTATTCCTTTAATTGACATCTAATCAAATTAGATTTGTCAATTAATTCTAACTCTTTAGAATTACTATTTGAATTTCACCTTCATTCAAAAATTGGTGTGACCTTTTAGGTTCACAATTAATACTAGTAGTGGGTTTACAACTCTTTGTAATTTGAGTTAATCTTATTAACTCTTATTCATGAATTAACTCCTTAATTCAAGAACCCACATATCATGGGAACATCTAGCAAGTAGCATGAATCTAGTATTAAGTGAATAGCGAGTAACCTATTTCAATTACAAGTCCATACATGTAAAATCCTTTCGACATCTAATTTCCCGATTAAATCTTGGGTATGATTTTAGTCGAAACCCAAATTGATTTAATAACTATGATTCTATTTCATGTTTAGTAATTCATGTGTGAATCTCTATTCATCCTGCCTTGGCCAAAGACTTTGAATTACTAACTATGAAATACATAGGAAATTCTCGTATCTTCATACGTGTCGAATCCTTTGTTGGCCACTAACAAACTTCCATACATATTAACATAATACCCAAAATATCCCTTTATACAATTGTGCTAGCAACCAAAAGGATAAATCAAAGTAGAACGTAATATGCACAAAGTTACCATTGTGCCTCAAGTCTAAGGATTAGTCATGTACTATCGTAACATGAAAATTCTTATTCGACAGAATAATTAACTAAAATAATTCTTCATTAAGAATTTTCATACGGTCATGTTCAGTGAACTTGTTCTCTAACAAGCACCCACATATATGTACTTGCGTCCCACGCTAATGTTGATGGAATGCAACATTCTTGTCAAACAAGCATACATACTATGTACAAGTCTTTTATGGATTATTCGATATCCCTTTCGAAACATCCATCGACTTGGAACTTTATTTAAGACCACAGCTTTCAAGGTATGTTCCATGATCACCATCTCTATGCGCAACCATACCTTATAACTATATGTGATCTAGGGATTTTATCTTAAGTGCAAATATAGGATAAATGCTTACTCTTAAGATAAAGTAATGCCTTTTAATTAATATAATTCCAATAGATTGTATTTACAAGTAGAATACATCCAATCCAATAGGAACGCTGGGTATACTACTCTAACAGCGACATCCTCGCGAGTCGCGCGTCCTCAAAATGTTAAACTTCTGGGGTTGGGTCGCGACATAACTCGCGAGTCGCAACTCCATCTCGCGCGTCGCGACATCATCTCGTGAGTTGCGACTCGTTCTTCGAAAATCCTCTTAAGCCTCAGTTTTTCCGCGAGTCGCGACATGTTCGCGAGTCGCGAGAAATTCTGGGCACGTGTTTCTGTCTGTTTTTTCAGTCCTCTTCGTCGTCTTCTGGGCTCGGCCACGGAAATTCTCAACATCACGGTCTCGGCTCAAGCAGTCCCAACTCGACCGGCACAACCTATCTCCTGAAAACACAAAAACAAGGAAAAACACGAAGCAAAACACGGCAAAAAGACAAAAAAAAACTAAGGAGAAAAACACAAAACGAACGAAATGGACCAAATAAACCACGAAAAACCTACAAAT